AATTTCTATATAAATATAAAAACCTAAATCTGTTGTAAAAATATAGAAAATACCTTTTAAATGAGGTATCACATAACCCTAATTTCCATAAGAAAATTTAAAGCTAGTAACTTGGCAACCCTCAACTCTAAATTTAATGAATTATTATGCTCTGTACAAAATTTAAAACCGAAGATCATTCTTATCACAGAAACATGGTTAACTTTAAATGATTCTGATTCTATGTATGATATTTTGAATTATTCTCTATACAGATGCGATCGAAGAGACCGTCGCGGTGGAGGTGTCTGTATTTATTTATCATCAGATATTACACAACATTTTTTTGTTACTCCTCTTGACATTAGTGTCCCTAATATGGAATTATTAGGTTTAAAAATTTATTCTAGCTCTATTACTCTTCATTTAGTCTGTATTTATCGTCCCGGAGACTCTCAACTAGCTGAAGATACAATCCTTATTGAAAAACTTGAATATCTGTCTTCACTAGAAAATGTCATTATTATTGGTGATTTCAATTTCCGAGATATTTCGTGGCCAGTTACTCTCACTCCAAGTGATGTTGTAAATTCAAAAAATAAATTTTTGAACTTTGTTCTAAGCTCTAATTTACAACAACTTATAACAGATCCAACACGATTCCGAGTCAACAATATTCCTTCCACGCTAGATTTGTTATTTGTAAATGATAAACAATTATTAACTGACCCTATCATTCAGTCTCCGATAGGAATATCGGATCATGCAGTTATCATAAGTCGTATACAGTTTAACATAGAGAACCCATCTCACAAAGATCATACTTCATCTTATGAAATCATCGATTTCGATAACTTAAATCGTCATTTATCTACCATCGACTGGATAGAAACATTGGGGGACTCGGGAGATCCGGAAGAAGTATGGAATAAGTTCGCAATTTTTATTGCTACTCATAAAATGCAATACTCTAAAAAGAAGGTGTTTTATAAAAATAAATTAAAACCGTGGATCAACGGAGAACTAATATCCTTGATTAGACATAAAAGTAAATTATGGCGTAAATATAAGCGGTCAAATAGTATTGTCGATCTAGAATATCACAAAAATTTTTCCAAGGACCTAAAGAAATTTATAAATGAGGCCCGAGAAGAATATGAAGAGTCAATAGCATGCAGCCAAAACTGTAAAAAATTATACAAATATATTAGATCTTCACTGTCATCAAAAGTATCCATTCCTTTACTAAACAAAGAAGATGGAAGTCCCTGCCAAAATAATTTCGAAACGGCTGAACTTTTAGCTAATACCTTCACAAAAGTTTTTACTAATGAACCTCCCCAGGATCAGTTACCAGATATCTCACCCGAAAGAATCCATTCTTCCTTAGAACGGCTCAATTTTACTCCTGAAATTGTCAAACGTCACCTTTTAAAATTAAAAAACAATTTTTCTCCAGGTCTAGATCAAATATCTTCTCTATTTTTAAAACAATGCTCTAATACCATATCAGTTCCTTTATCTTTATTATTTATTATTATTTATTATTATTATTATTATTATCTATTATAATGTCTTTGTCTTTTAATACACACACATTACCCTCTATCTGGAAAACAGCTTCTGTAACACCCATTTTCAAGAAAGGAAACAAACTAGACTCTAATAACTACCGCCCAATCAGCCTCACACCCATAATCTGTAAAGTTATGGAATCCATAATAACAGAGCACGTTTCTCAGTTTCTCTTAGCGGAAGAAATCATTCCCAAACAGCAACATGGATTTGTAAAAGGGCGATCAACCATGACCAATTTGCTTTGGTGTGTAAATGAGTGGACAGTTTCATTAGACAGGAAAAAACCTATAGACATTATTTACCTGGATTTTGCGAAAGCTTTTGATCGTGTGCCGAAACGAAGATTACTACATAAGTTAGAACACCTTGGTATACGTGGTGATTTACTTAAATGGATCGAGTCATTCTTAACTGATAGAAAGTACTGTGTTAAAGTTGGAAATTCGCATTCACTTGAAAGACCAGTCTTGAGTGGGGTTCCTCAGGGATCAGTTCTGGGTCCACTCTTATTTATAATATATGCCAGTGACCTTCAATTCCATATCAAGTGCAACAATATTTTTTACGCAGATGACACTAAAATATTTAGTGACCCGTCTCTGAACTTCCAACAGCTTCAAGATGACCTCCATCTATAACTGGTGCTCAGATTGGATGCTACCTCTAAATACAAATAAAAGTGTAGTTCTCCATATTGGTAAAAATAATCCTCGTCATAATTATTTTCTAAACGGTCATACGTTAAATAAAGTTAAATCTTACAATGATCTAGGTGTTATAATTACTGAAAATCTCAGCTGGTCTGAGCACGTTCTTCAAGTGTCAAAAAAGGCGAACACGAAAATGTACTTATTAAAGAAAACATTCGCAAAAGTGTCTTTTCAAAATTCTATCCGGCTGTATAAATTATACATTCGTCCGATTATCGAGTACTGCGGAGCTGTGTGGTGTCCGGAACTAGTGCGGGATAAAAATATTCTTGAAAATGTTCAGCGCCGATCAACCAGACTATTTTTCGGACGTATGAGACCTAATTACGCAGAGAGACTACATATGGCTGAACTACAAACGTTTGAAAATCGCCGTCTGCGGGGTGACATGATAATTTGTTTTCGTATTTTAAAATATAATTTTGGAAATTTAAAATGTATGTTCATCGTGAACAGTGAAAATCGACTACGTGGCCATAAATGGAAGCTGAAAAAAGAACAATTTTTTACGATAACGAGGCAAACTTTTTTATTTAATCGAATATTCCACACTTGGAATTCTCTACCGGAGAATGTTGTAAATGCTCCATCTGTCAATGTTTTTAAGAACGAACTTGATAATTTTCTATTTTTTAATTAACATTTCATTTGTTTCATTGTTTATTCATCGGTTGTACCTGTTATTGATTTAGTTTTTAGTAATATTGTTTTATATTCAGTTAATATGGGCTTATGGGTCTTATGGCCCCTGCTCTTATCAAATTATAATAATAATAATAATAATAATAACTCCCTCTATCTTACGTGTCTCAAGTAAAGTGCATCTCGTTATAACAAAAAGTTTTACCTCGTTTTTGTTTTGTTATATTTTTTCATTTAGAAGTTAAAATAGAGGAGGGTACAATTTTCGTCCCCACTATATATAATACATTCGTGTGTATTACCTTTTCTTTGACAGTTTTTCGAAAAAACGCTTAAAAAATTTCAACTTATCTTCAAAAGCAGAATGGATTAAATATAAGAAATGATTGTATAAATTTTAAATAAATGAAATGAGAAATATTTTTTCCTATAAATCACTATTTATAAAATCCTAATAACACAAGTATCATTTGTTACCATTTAATATTTATAGAATAGGTGTGTTATAGTTAACTTTTTGACTATCTCGAAATATTATATGTTAAAATTTTAAGTTACGATAAGCAATTGAAATTTTCAAATAAGCAAAGAGAAAAGTGTTCGAGAGAGCCCGAGAGAGTTCGAGAGAAACGAGAAATTCTCGTCGAGAGATGACACTCTCTCGTCTCGTCTCGAATCTTTTTTCGAGAGAAAATGTCTCTCTCGTCTCGTTCGAGACGAGACAAGACGAGACGAGAATCTCTCGTCTCGCGGCACCACTAGTTACTCCTGCTGCTCCTGAGAAGTTTCAAGAGCAGCAGGAGTAACCCGTTCCGTCTTTCCTCCAATTTCTTTTATTGAGATATTGGAGAAATTCAGGAACAGTATTCCCTGCTTCTCCTTTATCTTCTCCCAAGAGACGGAATCTATGGTTATGAAAAGTTGCTGTCCCCTAGGGTCCAACTTCCTTCCAGTAACCCTCCAGTTCCCCGTTTGGAGCCCTGAATTTTGGATTCTCAGTCTCTTCATTATTCTTTCCGGTTCCACTGCGGGTCCCGGTATCCATGTCATGGTAAACTTGGGTTTGATTACTTCCCCAGAGTCTATAGACTTTGAGTTTAGCACCATCCCAAGGTACCATGCTTTTGACGGTCTGCTCAACCCAATCTCTCGTTTCAAATCAATTATTTTCTGAATAATCGGTTTTACCACTAAAATTTAAAAATCTTTAAAAACTATTAACTTTTGGTATAGGGAATGCTTAAGTCAAATTAAAGTATAATTAGGATACTTTTGAACGATGATATAAAAAACAGGGTGAACCATTTAAAAAAAATTGAGAAAATTATATATTTGTGTTTTGACTCACCCTGTACAGATTTGATGCGAATTGAAAAAAGTAGTGTCTCCGGATAAAATTGTTGTCAATTGTTTCTTTTGCATGAATTCAATACGATTTTCATACAAAACTGATTATATCCTGCAAAATACCCTGTATAAACCAATAATTATTTATATTTTTAGAATGGGAAAAGCGAGGGTAATTCAAATATAAAATAAAATACAGGGCAATCCATTAAAAAGAACATAAGTTGGTTCCTGAGAGAAGTTATTAAACACCCTGTATATCCATAAATAATTTTAAAATATGTAGTTTAACGCTGTCTACCGTTCTGTGAAAATATTTTTTTATCTCTAATAATGGCGGAGATATTGGACTTTTTTACACTAATGGATCACCCAGTATAAGTTAATAAAATGGCAACAGAGGGCAACAGCCAATCGTAGACTAGAATAAGAAGCAATGGTGGTGGGATATTAGCCGAACCGAAAATCAGTAACAAAACCAGAGTGTATAGCGATAGCGGGGATATCGTAGTTGCCACATGTTCACTGTGAAAGCACAGCTATGTCTAATACAAAATAATAAGCATTGTATAACAATAAACTAAATATAGCAACATGATTTGAATGAAGTCAGTTTGCAAAAATTTCGGGACTAAGGTACCTAAAATCTAAATATATAAAATCGTTTGTCCTTACTGATTAACCGACCGACTGCTCTCCTTCGCAATTTATAAAATGCCTTTTCTAAAAATAATTATTTTTTAGGTGGCATCTGTGTTGTAGCACCCATGTACATTGGAGAAATATCAGAAGCGTCAAGCAGAGGATTTTTCGGTTCCTTCCTTCAATTATTCTTAGCAGGTGGAGTCTTCTTTACGTGTCTAGTCGGCAGCCTCACCAATTGGGTGGGATTAGGTCTAATATTAGCTCTAATCCCGATTTTGCTGGGCGTAAGCTTCTCCTTTATGCCGGAATCTCCGATATATTTAATAAGCAAAGATAAAAGAAAACAAGCTGAAAAGAACTTAAAGATACTCCGAGGTTCTTTTTATGATATATCGGAAGAAATATCGAATATGGAACAGAATTTAGCTCAAGCTAAAAAGTCTAATGTTATTTTAAGAGAATTATTGACAAATAAAAGTACGAGAAGAGCTTTGCTAGCAGGTATTGGGGCACTAGTATTCCAACAATTTTCAGGAATCAACGCTATAATTTTCTACACAGTTACAATTTTTAAAGAAGCTGGAACTGATATATCTCCCTTTTTAGCAGCTGTTATCGTTAATTCAGTACAATGGACTGCTTCAATCATACCTATGTTAGTTATTGAAAGAGCAAATAGAAAGATGTTCTTAATAATGTCGTCGTTAGGAATGATGATATGTTTGGTTGGTCTAGGAATGTTTTTCCATTTAAAGACAATTCTAATTAACAACTCATATCTCTCATTTATTCCACTGAGTAGCACTATCCTCTATATGATCTTTTTCTGTATTGGTTTCGGTCCTATACCATGGATGTTACTGGGCGAGTTATTTTCGCCAGAAATTAAAGGTTTTGCTACCGGTGTATCCATTTTGGTAAATTGGTCAAGTGCTTTTATCGTTACCTTTTCTTTCCCTTTACTAAACGCGGCATACGGCAGTCATATTGCTTTTTATATTTTAGGGGGTATTATGGGGGTGGCGACGTTGTTTGTTTACTTTGCAATACCTGAAACCAGGGGGAAAACTCTGAATGAAATTCAAGAAGAACTGAATAGATAAGTTAATGTTTTTATTTTTTTTTAATTTCATATTGTATTTTTTATAAAAATACACTTTTTTATTTCAATTTTGGTTTTATTACATTTATCCTGTTCTTGTTATAAGGTGAAATATTGAATACTAGAATTCGCTAAAGTTACAAAAAGGTACAGTAAACGCCAAATTTAAAGAACCAGCGCAAATGCTCAAGTTCGTTTACTTAAAAATCGCCACGCCCGTTCACAATTTGAACCTTGTCCTTGCTTACGGTCAGTAGCGTAACGACTAGATCATTGTTTGTTTCTTGTTTCTGTGTTTTGGTTAAAGAGACTGGTTTTATTTTTGATAATGGGTGCTATGATTGAACGTTTACGTTATCCGTAAGGTACATGTTAGGCCGAGTTTTAACAGTAACAAGGCAAGTTCGTACGATGGAAAACTTTTTTCCAACACATTACTGTTATTTTCCGCCTGATATGTTCTAATTTAACAGGTTTCCATCTTACGAAATTGCCTCGTTACACTGATCTGTATACAGATCAGTGCCTCGTTACTTTTAAAATTCGGCCTAACATGTACGTTACAAATAACCTAAACGTTCAATCATAGGACCCAATGTATTCTATTGTGGGTGAAAAAAAGTGTAGCTCTGTTATTAACGGACAAAGTCGTGAAGTAATATACAACGTTTTTAAATATTTTGACGCAACAAAAAAGGAAGGAGTTACTTTAGATGATATCAAACTTCAAACTGCACAAGCAACAGGTAAACATATTCTGTAGTTTATTTGCAATTAAACATGCGTAGTTTTCCATATTTTTTTGTATTTTACACACATATCTATGCATTTTATTTTTGATTAATATTTTATATTTAATTTTTTTAAATTTATCTTCTGTTTCTAAAGATTTTTGTTTCCTAATAAATGTAAAAAAAATACTAAATTTAACATTAATATAATATTACGTTTTTACAGGTGTTTTTTATACTATCGTTAAAAGAATTTTGAAGGAAGGTAAACAGTCAATGGAAACAACTGGAAAAATTACATTTTCCACACCTAGGAAAAACTTCGTCAAACAATCAACCGCTACGAATCTCCCTGAATATCAATTGAGGGACATTCGAAGAATAATTTACGATTTTCATATAACAGAAAAGTCTCGTGTTACTGTTAAAAGGTTAGATAATAAAATTAAGGAAGATTTAGATATCCATATATCATAAACTTCATTAAGAAGAGTCCTTAAAAAATTACAATTTAAGTGGAGAAAAACACAAAAAAATCGTAAAGTTTCGGTAGAAAAAATGAAAATAAGAACTTTAAGAGTAAAATATTTGAGACAGATAATAGTTATTTATGCAACAAGTGCAAAAAGTAAGTGTTTATTGCACGCGACGCAACGAGGCCGTCAGGCCGAGTTGGACAACACGTCGAGTGCAATAAATACTTTTTGCACGAGTTGCATACAATATTTTTTCTACGTTCATGCAAAAAACAAAAAATGTTTTATAGAACTGCAGTTGTATTATCCAAATCATAGTAGTCATGATCGTGTACCTTTGTTGAGGCATTTATTTACATTTGTGTTCATAATTTGTAATGACATTTTTATATGATTGAAAATAATATAAAATATGCAATTGTTTTTAAAACGTAACACAGAAAATGAAAATGGACTAAATATTTGGCGTTGATTTGAATATTTATGTTTGTCATGATCATAAAACGCTGTAGTAAAATGACAGATGAGTGCAATAAAATTTTTATTGCACTAGTGCAATAAAGAACCAGTTTTTTCACTAAATATAGTTCAATAAAGCTTTGTTTTTTGCATGAACGTAGAAAAAATATTTTAGAAGTCAAAATAGACCAATCGTTTATTTAGATGAAATATACTCGTATATACAAGAATTGGACAGACGATTCAACAGAAGGTTTGTTTTCTGTTATTTCTAAAGGCCAAAGGCTTATTATAGTTCACGGTGGGGGAGAAATGGGTTTTATCAAAAATAGTTTGTTGATATTCAAATCAAGGACCAAGTCTAGAGATTATCATTCCGAAATGAATTCGGAAAATTACGGCAAATGGTTAAGAGAGAAGTTAATACCTAATCTTTCACCTAATTCAGTAATTGTTTGTGATAATGCTAGTTATCACAATGTACAGACAAATCGAGCACCTAATTCCAATTCTTTGAAGAATGATATGATCGAACGGTTGACAAAATACAACATACTTTTTAATCCAACAAGTTTAATACCAGAGTTATATGAACTGATTAAATCTCATAAGGACCGACTTGTAACATGTGCATTTGATGAGTTGTGTTGAGAATACGGCCTCACCGCTTTACGGTTACCCCCATATCACCCCGACTTGAACCCTATCGAATTGATTTGGGCAACTGTTAAGAATAATGTCAGTCAAAGGAATGTTACCTTTAAATTAGAAGACGTAAAACAATTAGCAGAAGAAGAATTTAACAAAATCGGTGTATGGAGGAATAGAAAAAGCGATGCGATCATGTTATAAAGGTAGAAGATAAATATTTAGAAAGAGAAATACAAACTGATTTATGTTCGGAAATTAATCCTATCGTCATTAATCCTAATGAGGATTCCAGTGACGACAGTGACGAGTCTTCTTCCAACGAAGAATGTGACGAAGACATATTATTATGAACATTATTTATTTGTGATTTACTGTTTACGTTGTTTGTATTTACTTATATTCTATATAATATAAAATTAAACATGTTTTTGTTTTTCTTAAATTTACGTAAAATCAGAAGTTATTTGGACTATCCAGTTTTGAAATGAAGACCCGGTATAAAAAATCGGAAGGATATATTACTTCATACACATATTATTTCATATTTTGTTTATAAAAAATTAATGTCAGTTAAAATACAAAATACTAGATCACCAGAGCTCTCCTTAACCTAAAGTCGGCTTACCTAAAAATAATGATTTTTTAATTGACTATAGAATTATGTACTAATATTAACACTAAGCAATATGTATGAACAAGCATCATTCACTATTTTCCATTTATTTTATGTCTTAAAATATACGCGCCCCTGGTTTAGAACTTTCTAGGTAAGCTACCAATTCTATTCATCGGTAGGCGTATTCGTAGCACTATAAATGCGCATCCTTGGTTCTTTAGATTTGGCGTTTACTGTAGTATTTGTGATCAAAATGATATTTCCCTTTAAAAACTTTATGTGTCCCACTTATGGCCTCAGTGTCCATCTTGGGTGGAAAGAAATCCGGAATTGAGTTTCCATACTTATATATCTATGAAGACTAGAGAGAAGGAGGCGAAATTAAAGCAATGCTGCCAAGAATGACTAAAGACGGCAATGAATCCATCATCAATAACTAGTGAATCTGAATATGATAATTTTCTGATAAGGAAATCTAAACGGGGACCCTCTATTTTACAATGAATTGGACAAACTATAACAGGACCACGCATGAAACAAACAAAAAGCGCATTACCTATTCTATGGTCTGGCTCGCGGTACATACGACTTCCACTTTACTTACGCTCATTTTGCACATACTTTGATTTTCTTTTACTATACGGAGAATGGTCGCACTGCGCAGCTTTCTGCCTTTTAAAAGGAGATAGAAAACTCCGCCATTTTGAACCCTTATTACGTGTTGCCTACATCTTGGAGCAATATTTTTAATAGGTGCGTTTTAATAATCCGCTTCTGCTTCGGAATTGTCGGTTTTCTTGTTTTAATCTGACAGGTTAAAACGACTAAACCGACAATTCCGGAAGCAGAAGCGGATGATTAAAACGCACCTGATATTTTGCTTGCTGCTGTCAGTGTCAGTGAATATTATTTTTGAAGTCACAGTTTATTGCTAAAGAATCAGTTAGCTCACTCGGACCAGTTGAAAGTTCCAAAATAACATCCACTCCAGGGATACAAATTCAGGATACGCAGAAGACTGCTGTTTTATTACAGGCCGTTGTCATATATTGTATTATCCGAGTTGCACAGTGTATAAACTGAAACATTGAGATCTAAAGTGCCGACGCAGAGTGAGCGATCTGATTCTTTAGCTGTAAACTGTGTCACAGGGTTCAAAATGGCCGCGCCCTATGTTGGGTGTGTCGGACCTCTCTCTTGCCTCGTATAGTAATCAAAAGGTGAGTTCGGGCTGCGCACTCCAGAGTGGAGTGGAGTAATTAGGCGTAAACGGAGTGCGAATATGATTTTACTCCTTTACCTCTCGGAGTACAATGTCAGTTGTCAATGTGACATACCAGTACTTAAAATTTAATCGTACTTATCAGTAACGACCGTATAAGTTTCTTCCATATTAATGATATTCACGGGAACCAAAAAAAACTTATTTACTAAAGAATCAGTCACAATTAACTTATTATCGATTTAAATCACCTTATGCGCATGCCCGATCCACACTCCACTCCACCATCTCCGAACGGTCAAAGAGGAACTTTTATTTTAACTCCTTCCGTACCCGAACGCCTTAGGTACTTTAGGAGTGAATATAGTGAAAAGAGTGCGTAGACCGAACTCACCAACTGTATGTGCCGTATAGTAAAAGAAAATCAAAGTATGTGACTTCTACTGGGGTCTATTCTGTAACAATTCCTTTATATTTAACGGCCTTTAAAAATATTGGCGGCCTATAAAAATATGTTCGTATTCGTTAATTTACTTCTATCATTATTTAAACAGATTTCTTTAAGATAGTCCTCTAATGTATTTTAAATATCCGTTTAAATAGTGACCGAATTAAAGAAGAAAATATTTTTAAAGGCCGTTAAATATAAAGGAATTTTTACAGAATAGACCCCATAGTCTGTCTACAAACGACGTGTACCTTTAGTTTTAGTTAACATCCTAACGCAGAGATGACGCCATCGTTACTGCAGTTGATTATAAAAGTTCTGTTATGCGAAGCGTTGGCAACACTGAGTGGAAGTGACAGCTAAATAATCTGACATTTAGTGACAGATGACAGATCCAAACATAAAGAAGGTTAGAAGCTGAATTAAATAAAAGGATAAGTTGTTTTTAAATAACTTTAAAGTTGTGTATTATTAAATATAAAAAAATGTGTGCGGGTTAAGGTTATATATTTATGTTCGGAGAAAATAATTTAAATTTAAGCAATGGCGACAAAAAAAGTTATTCCAACGAGAATAGGAAGTGATTTAAAAAGTACTGTTAAATTTCTGGATGTCATCGAAAGGCGTACACTAGGATTTAGAAATAGTAGATTTGGTGTAGACGATTCTATAGCGTTTAAATTGTATAACAGTATTTATCCATTTCACATAGAACAAAAACGACCCATTCCAACTTCAATAGGTGGAATTTTCAACTTGGAATTCAGTCTAGATGGGTAAGATAACAGTTGTCATCATCTGGCCATAAATTAACATTTTCTTTTTAGAAAACTATTAGTTGCTGCTTGTGAAGGAAAGCAGGTTTTAATCTATGATGCTGGCAATCAGAAATTAATTCACAACATCTTAGATGCTCATTTAAACTGTGTCAATTGTGTCAGGTATGAAACAGGTTCTATTATTTGACCCTCAGTAAAATAAAACAATTCCTATTTGCACAATTTCAATTATTAGATAGGCTATTAATATGTATATAAATGTTTAATGGTTAATGTGTCCTAGAAGGTACTTTAAAAAGTACTAAAATTTTATCTATTAAAAATATTTGCTGTTCTTTTTTTAAAAATTGGTTTGTTCTAAATCTTCTTGTGTAAAATGAAAATTAAAAATTCTCTTATTTTTCTTACTACCTCTCATTAAAGAAATTTATTTAATCAGCTAATTTCTTATGTGTATGCATTATATTTAATAAAAAAACCTAAAAGAATTTTATTAAAATAAAAAACAAAAGTAACATCTTTATTATACTCACTCTCAAGCAAACTTTGATCCAACTATTGCTATTTTACAATTATTTTTGTAGGTTTTTAAATGACAAGCATTTTGCCACCTGTTCTGATGATACTTCAATTAAAATTTGGGATATACGAAAACTTAAATATTCAATGAAAACTCTCCATGGACACTCTAACTGGGTAAGTAATTTCATTAATAAATCTTATAATTATAAGAGCTACTACAATAGATTACAATTTTTTGGTAAATGTATTAGTTGAGGTATTAGTATTACTCAACACATTTCACAATAGTATCCCAGGTAGCAAATAGATGAATAAAAAGGGATTAGGTACCATTTGGAGTGTTTATTTTCTTATTTAACACAAAATAAATTTTTTGACAACTTATAAATTGAATAGATTTTAAGAAATAATGCGAGTAGTGTAACAATTAACTGGCAAAATAAGACAGCTACTACCGCTACTTAAATAAGAATATGTTTAAGCTTACTACTCTACTATCTTTCTATATGAGTGAATTGCTGAATTTATCTATAGGTACTTTCTTTTGACCACTCTTAATAAATCGCCCAGTAGGTACATCCTTTAAAATATTACTACCTACTTACTTTGAGAACATTCCAATATTTTCTAATCAATTTAGATCCATATTAAGTCAAGATGCCTGTGTTTATTTAAAAAGATTGGTAACGATAGCAATAAGGACTTAATATTTTCCAATAAAAAAAATAGTTAATTTGTTTGTATTATGTGAACATGCCATATCATTTTTTAGTTTAGTCAAAGTTCAACCTTTCCAATAAGTTTACATGTTAGTTATATTAAAATTTTTGTTAATGTCACATTAGCAGTAATATTAATTTGCAGAACGTAGTACAGGTTTAAGAGGTAGACATTTTATTTATACCTCATCCTTCAATGTTAAAATGAAAATTTTAATACATCTGATGGTCCCTAATAAAAGTTTTCATTTAGAGTTAATCATGTTTCTATTGTTTTTACTGTAAAAACCTTTTCTTTTGACAGATAAGTCAGACTTTATTTATTAATAGTCTTATCCTATGTATTTTAAATGATTCGAAATTTTGTATTAGTATAAATTAAAATTGTATGGTTATATAAGAGCATTATCTTTAGAAGAAAAACATATAATCTCCGAAAAGACTTTGTTTCACTTTCTGTGAATGAAATAGCCACTAAATGTGAGACCTATACTGAAGTATCTAAGCTGACAGTGTATAACATTATTAAAGATACAGTTACTGGAGAGACCCCAGGAAGAAACAAGACTTTTATTAAAACTTGGATAAAGAATGTACTAAGGCAAATGGTATATTTTTTCTTTCGAAATTAAAGAATTACCAGTAAAGAAATAGAAAATAGCCCCACTATTCCAAATTTACATCCACAAAAAATATTACATCAATTAAATTTTTAACAGAGAAAGACGAAATCATTGCATGAAAACATGATTATTTAAGGAAAATAGCGGGCGCATGGAATCAGCATAAACAAGTATTTTATTTAGATGAAACATGGGTTAATGTTGGACATACAGTAACAAAAATTTGGCAAAATACTTCTATAAAAACTAAAAAACAAGCCTTTATGGAAGGTGTCTCTTGTGGATTGAAAACTCCAACAGAAAAAGGAAATTGTTTAATAATAACCCACATTGGAAGCACTGATGGATTTTTGCCAGATGGTTTATTAATGTTCGAGTCAAAGAAAACAAATGACTACCATGAAGAACTGGATAGCCCTATGTTTGGAAATTGGTTTCAGAACATAAAAAAATTCCTGCCAACTCCATTATTATTTTGGATAATGCATTCTATCACAGTCGATTAAAGGAGTAACTACTTACCTACAACAAGTTGGAAAAAAGAAGATATTTCAAAATGGCTTTATTCTAAAAATATTATCAGTCCTCCTAAATCGTTAAAGGCTAATTACTTGTAATAACAAGGCAACATGAAAATAAATTCAAAACATATCTTATGATGAGATGGCTCGAGACAAAGGAATTGAAATTCTCAGATTGCCTCCTTACCACACAGAGTTAAATCCCATTGAACTGATCTGGTCACAATTAAAAGGTTATGTTTCTCGAAACAATACAACATTTAAATTACCTGATGTGCAAAATTTGTTTTTGAAGGCAGTTTCAGATGTAAATAGAGAACATTGGAGAAAATACAATCATGTTAAAAAGGTGGAAAATTCATTTTGGAAAGTAGATATAGCAATGGAAAACTTAATAGATCCTCAGAAAATACAATGATAATGATACCAGTAGTTATAGTGAAGACATTGACTTTTAAAGATAGTTCTTGAACTTTTTATTTTTTTTTTTTAATCTTTGATTTAATGTACTGAAATGTTACTTTTAATGACAAGATATTAAAAAAAGTTTAATCCCATTAACAACATATAATCCTCCTTGTTATTTATTGGCTAAATTTAATTCGTTCAATGTTAAAGTGCAGAAGCATAAGTTTTTTTATTTTTTGTAAATTTAAATAATATATCTTTTTTCATTCAAAATTTAATTTACGAAGTAAGTATAGGTAAAATAGGTATACCATTTCATATGCCGTGACCTTATTTATATTATAGAAACGTATTTTGCAAAGTACGCATATGGAATGTGACGTTTTATCCCCACTTTTACTGCATTTCTCTTTTATTCAGACTATAGTTCAGATTTAACTATTAAAATTGTTTTTCTCTTATCCACATTTGGTATATTTACTATATTTCCTTCAGTGGGCCTTAGAAAAAATATACTGTACAACTTATCTATATAACACACAAACTCTTATTGCAAATTTCTATTGTGTTACAATATTTTTGAGACTAATATACCTAGGAGAACTAAAAATGTCTGATGATTGATGCATAAACAAATGTATTTCTCTGAACAAATCACATTTGTATTTTTCAGGTTAAAAATATCGAATGGTCTGAAAAGGACAATGTAATGGTAACATCTGCATTTGATGGTAGCATTTATGCTTGGAATCTCAAAAGTCCTAACGAAAGCAATATGATGTACGATAAAGTATTTTTAATGAATGGTTTGATGAGGATGAAATTGACTGAAGATGGTACAAAAATGATTATTTCAACAACAAATGGATTTATGATTATTATACACGATTTGAATTTACTTACCTTAGCGACTGACCTTCGTTCCTTTAGGGTAAATTGACGTTAAATATTTGTCATTTCTAGTTCTTTATTAATGACCTTCATTTCAGCCGAGTTTATATAGGTTAATGCAGATCAGCGATCAATGTTTTCCAGTTGGTACTATTTACAATTATCTATTTTCTCCTACACGTAAACGAAATAGAATTGAATTTATCGATGATTTTCCTGATGTAGCTGAAGTGATTAGTTCCTTACAGATACACCCACATGGATGGTGTACGGTATCCAGACATTTAAATTCTGAAGAAACCGAAGAGGTACGTACACGTTATAGTCAGTGTTTATTAAAGTAAATCTTGGATAAGTTCCCTTTTAGGTAAAGCCGCTGGATATCTAAAGTCATGCACTGGAATTAGCATCGGAATATCTTTTGTTTCTCCACATCTATCATTTTCTATCCTCTTTAGATGCACCATATTTAAACAATGCCTACTTCTTATTCTTCAAATGGTTCTTATATAACTTTTAATTTTCCCAAACCATGTTTTATATTCTGTATTTTCATTTTTTCCAAAATCATTTCTCTGATCTCGTGCGACATCTGAAGGCCAACATTTTCCAAAAGTCGTTTGTAAATGATAAAGTTTCCTATGGATTATTTAAAAAGTATAATAATCTATAGCTAATTGTATCTCTTAAATAATAATGGCATGCCAGACAGGTCAAAATAAGTACTGTATTTCATTTTCGTAAGTACAAATTTATTATGATTATACAACAATGGAGCAGTTTTTAAAGATATCTTCTTTGGAAACCAGAAATAAACATGATGTTTTAACAACTTCAACTCGTATTTCTGTGAGGTAAAAGTGAATAAGTAAATTTTTGGTGATTGTAGCTCAGTTGTTAATTGAAACTCCATTCGCTCATTAAACCTCAAACGATTAGTTAGAGTTAATAAACTCTACCCGTTCCAACTCTCGTAAAACCTAACCCATCTAATCACCAAAAGTTGACTTATGTCCTTTTACCTTCTGACCACAGATTTTCGACTTCAATGTAAACATTATTTATGTACTTTGATGTTTACGTTAAAGTACTGGAAACACTTCAACTCTCTAGTACCAACTCAAAATATTTAATTTCACAGCCAACTCCAATTATGATTTTCGATGGCTCCTTACATATAAATATAATACATTTAAAATATCACGTTAATTGTTGTAGAACTGATTTTTTTGACAATAAATATTCATATTTTTAGTGGACCTGCGTTCATGACATCCAAAGCCGAGATCCGGAGGACTACAAAGATTCCTACACGTACATCAATGAAGAATTTCCATTAGAAGCCGATCCAGACGAGGACAGCAATATCCGACCAACCGACCTTTGGATGGGCTACATTTCCCTCGAAGAATACAGCAATCACAACAGAGATTTCAGTCAAGTCTCGCAAAATATGTGGGAAAATTTCCAACTGCCCACAATGGGTATCTTAAACACCGGCCTCATAGGCGTTAATTCTTCCTTCAATACTTACTTTAACCAACATCCAGATCAGCGTAATAAAGTAATAAGAAATTTACCAAGGATGACGCATTTCGTTAAAGAAGAAAACGTCGGAAAGGGATTTATCAAAGAACTGTGTTTTTCGGCTGATGGCAGGGTGATCTGTTCGCCGTACGACAAAGGTGTAAGACTGTTAGCATTTAACGAACATTGTCATGAACTATCCTCTTGCGTGCCTGAGAATCCTCAACAACTTAAGACTGTCATAGAAATGAAGGACTATCACAAGGACGTAGTGGTATCATGCAAGTTCAATCCAGTGCATCATCAACTGGTCAGCGGTTGTTTAGGAAGTGAAATTAAGTGGTATCAACCTGTGATATAAAACGTCTTGTTTATTTTTCTTTTTATATTGAAAAAAGCCGAATCTTAACAGTTAGGCAGCCAAATATAATATTCAAAAGATTATTTGTTTTATTTAAGCAACTTCCTTTTATTCTTAAATATAATATGCTCAGTATAATGAAAGAGTATGGAAGACTTTTTTATGAGGATACTCTAAGAGCAAAGTTTATCAAAGACAACCAAATAATCAGCACATAACAGATTGCTCATATAATACGTGTATCTTTTTATCCAACTGTTGTAGGAACGTTGGCATCGGTGCGGTATCTACCTGTCTTTTTTTTTTTCATCAATCTATCAATGATGAACTAACAGCGCTGTCTTTTTATCCAACGTTGATGCAATCGATGCAACATCATTCGATCATTTCAATGTATGGTTTTTCCGATTAGATGCGACAACTGACAGCTATGGATTGCGGGAATTAATCAGAATTAAGGAGTTAATTGTTTTTTTGTGGGAAAACCGAAAAAATGAGATTTTAAAAATATATGCATCCAAATTAAAATAGGTACATTCAAAAAAAAATTATAAAACAAATTTTAATCCAAAATGTCAACTGTTATTTATTTCAACGGTCAACCATAAATAAATAGAATCCAACACAAGGCCGCAACGGCGAAATAACGATTCCAACAAACCGGTGGAAAAAAAGACATGTTTTGCTAGATACAAATTTTGGTTGACCTAGCAGAAATAAATGATTAATATATAATTATTATACTTTTGGATAGACGATTAAACCTTTCAACTGTGTTAACACATGACTTTTGTTTGTATTTAAATTCGTCGATTACGTCAACATTGGTGACATAACATGAGATGGCCATTTGAATTGACATGTTTTGGGTTTTTTTCATAAATTTGCTATTTGTGAAATATTGAATTTATTCCCAACATTTGCATCATACTGTATATACATTAAGCTTATTGAATATATCTAAAGATACTCGTCTATAACTTTCAGTAATAATAAAGCTTATCTTTGAAAGTTACAAATTAAAGACTATTTTCAAAATACTTAAACAGAAAAACTATGAAATTTCAACCATTGAGTCCCATATTAGATATGGTATATTTTATGGGTACAGTAGAGATTCAAATCAGGTGTTTGTAACCCAGAAAAGAACATTGAGAATTTTAGCAAACTTAAAATACAATGAGGAAATTGAATTTACTCATTTGGAATATTTATACAAGAAAAAGAATAAATTTGAAATATTTGAACCCAAGAATAGATATACCCAATGACAAATCGTAGACAAAGACATTGGGTGCTCTGCAAGTAGTTTTTTTTTTTTGATTGGATGATATGTGTTGCCAGATTCACAACGGTTCTGTTGTGACAAACGTGATTGTCACGTTGGTCACAACAGTTCATTATTTAGTAGCCAAATCTCGTGTTTTTTAGTTAAATAGCAAAAGTAAATTGTACTTAAAAATTAATTAGAAAGGTAACTATTAACTACAATAAAGCTGATTACTGATCAGTTTTAATTTCTATGAACATGGGTGCTCCACGCCCATTATTACTTCTCGTGAGTGCTAAGCCCCCCAACCACTTAGGGAGTTGGCGCCCCCGAGTATATGTATTGTAACTTTCTTCAAATGAAATAATTTATTATATAAAGAAAGATAACAATCTGAAACTCATAATACCATATACAATGTAATATTAGAATATATCACTGTAATAAGAAGAATTAAGTGAGGTACGTATTTTATTTTCTTTAATTAAGGTACCTTTTTAAATTATATTAATATCGTTTTAAATTAATCAACACCAATACTGGACAATTGAGAATTGGCAAAATGTTCTTTTTTTGGATGAGACCAAAATTGGCCTAAGATCAGATGACCATCGAATTCGGGTTCTCAGAGCTCCAGGAAGATGAGTGAGACTCCATGCTGCCAGATATGTCCCAAGATATCAAAGAGGAACTGTAATGTTTTGGGCAGGTATTATGCTGGAAGCAAAAACTCCAGTGTTACCACTTCAACAAACTTTAACCGGTCCGAGATATGTTGATTTAGTGCTAGAATTCTGTTTTTGCTTTTCGGCTATTAAAAATTTAAATCTTTTTGTTTCAGAAACCAAAAAAATACCAGTGTGTTTATTTTGTCAACTAATTAATTATTTTTATTGCTGTGTATTATTTGTCATTAAGTCTTTGGTAAGGACCGAGTTTTATTCATAAACAAAAAAGGTCATCATCTCAAAAATTATGAAAAATAATAGATGATTCCATATAAGTTTGGTTGTGTGTCAGTGGCGGCTCGTGGGCACTAGCGGCAGTGGGGCACACACTGAAAAGGAATCCCGGGATTCGTTTTTCCCTTAGGAAAACAAGTTCTCCTCTTAATGAAAATTATATATATTTCAAAACAGTCAGTTGGGGCAATAACGATTTCTGAATGTGACTACAGGGAGCTAAATATGTGACCACTCAAAATGCATTTAACTATGTATGTGGCTATTTAATCAAAAAATCATTACATATTCACTCTTGCGAAATTTGCGTAAATTTCTCAGAAGAATACAATTTACTTAACAATTCGAACTTGTTAACGCATTTTAAAGCATACGACTCTGAAGAAAAGAAAAAAATTTTCTTTTATATTTTCAAATTAGAAAAAATATTTATATCTCTATTTGATAGTTTGTCAACTAAGCCTGGAATTTCCAACGCATACCTTTTTGAGATGAGCAAAATAGAATTTGGTCATCCTTACCAACAATTTGCGAAAATGTACACCATTAAATTATTTATAAGACTCAGAATTTTTTATACTCTTAAATATGCAAACAGAGATTTGAAATCCTCGAAAAAGTCAGACAAAACCAAAAGAAAAATTAAAGTTTTGTCCCATTTATAAATATTATCATATTTTTGACTGCTTTATAAAAAAAAGTAGTTTTATTAACTATTCCAATGGTCCAACTAACGTTTTTTCGTAATCACAATAAATAAATTATAATCATGGTCCAACAAACGCGCACCTCATCGCCTTGTCTGGGAGCCGGTAAAGAAGCCGCTGCGAAAATATCGTTCTATATATACAAATTGTATGGATGGAACGATATTTTCAGAAGTGACGTAGCTCAGAGCTACACATAGAAAAATAAGCTACACTTTCGATGCAAAGGAAAAGACCTATTTACTGTGCCCATCTTAATTTCGGAATGTAGCTCAACGCCCGGTCGTCCAGTGTCGTGCCAACGCGGTTTGCGCTGAATATTAGATAAAATAATAATAGGCATTGAGGAAAATATAAAATATGTAAGTTATTTTTTTTTTGTTTATTATACTAGGGCACGTGCCCAAGTGCCCTTACGGGCAAACCGCCACTTTTGTGTATATGTTTTGCTGTAAAATAAAATGATCTTTGGCCTAGTGTCTTTTGTACTTTTGCGGTTTGCGTTATTTGATTTTGTTTATAGCGAGTGTCGTGATCATGATTTATTTTTTCTAGCATGTTTTTTTTTTCTGTGGTAGGGTCAATATTTTAAACATGTATATTTGATTAATATCCATAAGATAACTTTCTTTATATAAAAAGTTAGTATCATATCGTTTAGGTTCCTTTAGAATAATTTTTTAATTTAATTTTTATATAAATAGTTGGAGGTTTGGGTACCGAACTCATGGTAAAAAAACTAAAAAATATATCAAAAATGTATTATTTATTTATTTTTGGGATTACATACAAATTACTTAAAAATATAACTGATTATTCTGATGCATATTTATTTGAACTAAAACATAATTCTTATGTAATAGAATAAATAATGTTACAAGATAAAAAGTTTTACTCAGCTACTGTTACTTCACTACTGGTAGATGGAGCTTGATTTTGACCAAATCCACGTATTGAGAGATCATAGACCACCTCCTCTATTTTTTTTACATCATATTTCAAAGCGTCAAACCTCTTGCGAAGGGAATCATTTTTCAAGTTCAAAAGCCTGAATCCTGCATTCAACTGCGCAACAAAATTTGAAATTTGCAAGGGCTTTTGGTAATCTCCAAGAGTTACTGAATTGACTGCATATCTGGCCTGAAGAACAAATGGTAATATTAATCAAATTATTAATACTACTGTTGGTAAGTTAAAAAAACATTATATAAGCACTTTTTACACAAACAACTGGGACTTAACATATAAAAAATGCAATTATTTTAACAATTCAAGTCTTACCAGTTCAGATGCTAAGTTAAGCAATCCCATCAGAAAATCTTCAAGATCAAGATGAATATTGGATTTATTGTCCACTAAAACAAATATTTTTCATTTTCAGAAAGTACAATTCATACAATGAGGCCAGTAAAACTAAATTTACCTCCCAAAATTGAAGCAGTTGTGTCTTTACTGATCAGTATTCCTTTTTCTAGAAAAACTATCAAAGCAGCTAGAGAACATAACCGTTGAGTTGCAAATCTCCAGTGATCATTGTATCTGTAGTATTGACCAGGTGGTACAGTTTTTTCCAACATATCATAACCCTTGCGTACCTCTTCAAAGGTTTTTCTGGCGTTTAAAATTGCTGCATGAACTACAACAATTTGAAATAAATATATAGTAAAAAACGAAAACAACTTTTTCAAGTTCAAAAAACAAAATACACAGATTTAACATTTACATACCCTGTTCAATGTCTTTTGCGTGATGAATAACTTGTAAAATCGTTATTATTTCCCTTAAAGGTTTCTCAATATCCTTCATTATTTTACGAATCTCCTAAAATGCGAATTTTAAATTATCATAATCAATGCGATTTTGCTGTAGTTTTACCTCTCTGGTTTCTTGCTCTGAATTAACGTAATCTTGAAATGGTGTGAAAATGTCCGCTATAATCCTTGTAGGAGTGCACATTGTGAATTTTTAATTGAAATACGGGTAATCAATCAATAAATTCTTTGAAAAATAAAACGCAAGACCGCCGATAGAAACCTAACCTCTAGAACAGTTGTAAAACGTAAATAATGCGTAAATATTACAAGGTTGCCAGATGCCAGAAAGCAAAATACATACCCTACAAAGTTTGAAAATATTTCAGTACCTATTTGCAATAAAATTCATACAATTTTTTGTAATGTATTAGTGTTTTATTTCATAAAATATTTTCAAAAAATAACTTTTTTTTTTTTTTTTTTTTTTTTCTTTAGTGTACGGCTTCAACATCTAAGGTCATTAGCCTAGTGTTCTATGTAGGTTATGGATTGTACTAGTAGTCTAATACTCCATAGTGTAGAAGTATTAGTACTCTAATACTCCTACACCCCTACAGACAGGCCTTTGTTACTGTTTCCTTGCGCCACTTTAGGAACAGCACTGTTAATTAGAACCCAACAGTGAATGGTCGAGTGGGGAATCCTACCAAGGCATCAGAATTAATTTTAAATAATTAAATTAAATAAAAAAATCCCGGCCAACGGTGGGATTCGATCCTGAGACCTTCCGATCTCAAAGTCATGACTCGAACCACTGAGGCAACCCACCCCCCCCCCCAAAAAATAACTAATGTAATAGGAATGAGGATAAATTATAATTTCCTATTTTTTTTTTATTCGGTGACACCGAATCGGTGTCCTCACTTCTCAGCATACTTGATGCGGAGCTAACCGATTAAGTGAATGCGAAACTTTGCCGTAGAAAATTATTTAAAGATATTAATAAAAATTTCACGTAAATAGTTTAATAAATTGTGAATAGCTGTTGAAATTTTGTAGAATTATGATTTGGGGATGTTATTACTCGTTTAAATAACTATTTGTAGTATAGATACATTTGCCCGATTCCGCGGGTAATAATTTAAATTGTTTGGTATTAGGTATTTTTATTCTATGAGACGACAATGGCGAATGAACATTACTGCAAAACTCTCGAAGTCGTCCGACGGGGCTGGACGTTTACCACCTCTTTATCTTCCAAAAGTCTTTCCAACTTCTGTCCCTGCATTAGAATTTATTAAATTAATTAGAAAAAATCCCGTTACTGAACGTAGGATTTGAACCCATCAGGATTCTTAAAAAATTGTCTATATTGACAGCCTTGCATCATTAATAATAGGTACGGAAAATTATATGTATATGCTGTTATTTGTATGTAATATATCGCCTCTAAAATTTCACCATTTTTCCTAATTTTATTGTATTTATATTTTTTTTTGCAAATAACCATGATAGTTTTTGTACGATCAATTACCGTACATATACGATAATTTCGTATGTTTGGCAACGCTAACAGTGTTACCAATCTAATGTTAGAGACCAATGTAGCCAACATTAGATGATTTGCCTAGTAACTTCAGTGTCGTAGGTTTGGGTAAATAAATTATTAAATAATAATGCTTCCTCCATGAATAAACATTTTCAGTGACAACCACAGATTAGGAGAAACTGAAGACATAACTGAGGGGGCATAGGGAACCCGTCCCCTCCCCGGGATAATGATGCAGTTTAAATAAAATATTGATTATTTTACGTATTCATAATATTTATTTTTACAAAACATTTATTTTAGTTATTAATAATGTCTCACTTTTAAATAAAAAATTTCTAGTATTCGTATGAATGAGTAATGAGTAGATAAAATGCTTAGAAAAAAAATAAATATTTTCGAAACCGCTTTTCAGCTAACAATGGCGTGCGCACGGCAGTGGCGTGCCAAAGTCTTTGCCGCCCCCCCCCGCAATTTTTTTAAAGGCCCCCCTTTACTTCAAAAAAATGAATATACTGCCTATACTGGGTGACAACGGAACTACTCTCTATGGTGATATTTCAAATAGGTCTATAGATAGATAAAATTGTTTTTGTTTTGATTTTTTTTCTTTCGACTTTTTGAAGAATAAGAATTCTAATTAATAAAATTCATAGCGTCATTAACGTACCAAATTCCATCTATTTTTTTTTTCTATTTTGGGAAATTATGAGGTATAGACATATATATTTCGCTGCTATAAAATTAAGTATAAGTATTATAGTTATTACTATATAAAAAGCTTGCCCGAGGTAGTCCAGGTCGAAACTGAGCCCCCCCCCCCCAAAATTCCGGGGGGGGGGGGGGGGGGGGGGCACGCCACTGTCGCACGTGCCCTGACGATATTTTTGAAGAAAAAAATTATGCGCCAATGGTTTTATATCGAAATAAAAATTATTTTTTAATTCCCTGTTCTATTTGAAACATAAGAGCTTTTTTGAGTTGTTATGTGATGCGCCATTTTGAAAAAAAAAAACCATTGTATTGTTCAAGAAAATTAATGTAATTATTGAATATGATGCAATTTTGTACCTTGGACCATATATAAAGCAACCTATTATTAAATATTCGCATTCATTGAAAATTCACAGTTTTTATTTACCTCTCAATTTTGTTTTACTTTAAAAATTTTATACTACTGTATTTGTTGTAGTAGTAGTATAGTGATTGTCTAGTTATAATGTATTATGTACCCATATTGTGATAATAACGTAAATTAAAATAAATCAGGATTCGATGGAAAGTTTGGTGTAAATTGGTAAATAAAATCACACATTTATATTTAAATACCTTTTACTTGTCATAATTCAAAATGTAACGTAATAATTTGCAAAGTATCATTACAATTGGTATTTTTTACAGAGATCTTACTTGAGTCTCGCTCAAACGCGGACCACGTTCATTAATTCCTACCAAGATTTTATTTAGCTTAATTCTATCCTAGATATACACTGGATTGTATTTTCTTAGGTATTTATTTCGACGAATATAGAGCTGATGACGAACAGAGACAATTCGCCAGTTGGATAACTTACTGTGTTGATGTTCACATATACTTTTGGTTAAATTATGGAGGGTAGAGAAAAGGAGGACAATCTTATATGGATCTTTATATTAAAAAGTGGCCACCAAAATGTATACAATTAAGATGGCGCTCGTGTAGCCAGGGGACAAAATCCAATGCTATATAGATTGCTCATTCATAATGAAATCAGACAGGAAGCAGTAAATTGAGACCTCCGTCCCATTTTAATGTAAGAATTATTTATTGTTTATATTATTTTTCAATAAAATTTGACTATTGTCGTGTATTGTCAAAATTTATCTACGATCACAGAACACTTACTCTTCTACGATCAGTCACTTTTCACGGTGTAGTTTTTAGTTTTTTATGGTTGAGCAATATTTATTACTATATACATCATTGGTGTCATTGTGTGATCTGAATTATCGACTGTCGACGTCCCCTGGGCACAGAAGCGCCATCTTAATTGTATACATTTTGAGGGACACTTTTTGTATACAGAGATTGTTCTCCTTTCCTCTACCCTCCATAGGTTAAATCTAGTAGAATGGGTGGCTAGTATAGGTGCTCTCCTTGAGCTAACGAACAGTGTTAATTCACCAGTTGGGTAACTATTAAATTTCACCATCTAGATTTGCTTAGATTTGTGTGCATAAATTACCCAAATTCACCCATCGAAAAACATGTCTAACATGTATTTCAGGGTGTATGCCCGAAAGCCATCTGATTTATTTGCTTACATAATAATTTGAAGCAAATGTCATCCCTTATTCAAACGAAACTCGAGCGACTCACTGAAAATACAGACATTAGGCTTGTCTAAACTAGACATTATGTACTAATTTTATTTCATTGTGATGGCGTCGATTTTGGTTACGTCGCAGCGTTGAGCGTCGTAGCGGAGAGAAAGATATTTATTAATGTACTGCGTCGGGACGGATATAAGGTAGACAATATACTTAGGTGGTGCTGCGCGACGAAGGCTGTCGTCGCGGGTATTACGAAGGAAATATTTGGGTATGTTTACAAGCGATATGCGTCGGAAAGTAGGGTGGTGGAACGTTGATCGTCGGGATGTGACAACATTTGGGAGATATAATGAGGCTTGCGTTCCCCGGGATTGTTTTAATGACTTTTTGTGATGTAAATTTGTTGTAACTCCGGTGGGAACTAATTTGGGTGGATAATAAAAACGGTGGTAGATTTATTACGTGCCTTGAGAAATTCTCGGAATTTTGTGTCGATATCATGTCGAAATCGGTGTTAATATACGAATTAACTTAAGATAAGCGCGTTAAATGTTTTAATTATCATTACATCATGAAAAGAAATAACTTTTATCTTTTCTGGTTATTGGGCTTGCACATGTAATATTAGAGACCCCGCGAACAGTAATATTGGTTTTATTTATTAGGCATCATAGGTAAGATTTAATTATCTAAAAGATTTTTCGTAAAAATGAAGAAAATTGAATTTAATAAGAATGCAACTTTTCTTTAATAAAATGGAATCAATAAATTATGAAGGTACCTGGTTGCGGTAGGTTACATAACATTATTTTTAATTTAAAAATAATTAGTTTTATTTTGTAAGGTTATTTCTTATACACAATTTTTCTAAGTTTAAAAATTTGGAAAGTTGTTTTTATACCTCGTATATTAATTTTAGATTTCATTTCACTCCCCCTAAATGAGTTACTGTTACATACTAAACATTTGTTATATTTCAGCAATTTTGAAGATTTAAAATTCATCAAATTCATTGTTTTTGTTTATCCACTTTTTACTTTGATTATTGGCAAATTAGTTATTTTAAAGTCCGTGTTTTTGTAAACAATATTAATATAATAAAAATTATATTTACCTACATAAATTCATTGTATTTACATAACTCAATATCATTAAATTGGCCACTAAAGTAAAATTCCTTGGCCACTAAAGTAAAATTCCTTAGCCACCGCGAAATCCAGATTTTAATACCCGTCATAACGAGTCTTCAATAATATCTGTTGTTGTCAGCAGTTGGCAAAAAGTATCATTAATTACTTCAGCAATGACCTCAAAACATTACCGCTTACATATTTGACAGTCAAGTTGTTACAAAATTTTTGGTTTATCAGATATGCATTGGGATCTTTCAATTTATCACGTGTTGAGATGACTATCTTCGTTCCACAGAACGCGATTTGTATGTAATGTCTCTCTCTCTATTCAATTCGTTGTGTTGAGTATGCTCATAAGAATCCCTGTCCAGGACAAGTGCAAACTCAACACGTTACGTGTTGAATAGAAACATTACATAAGAATCGCATTCTATCGAACACGTGCCGTATTGAAAGATGAGAATCCCACTGCAGGTGGGAAACGAATATTGTTAAAGACTGGAATATATGTTTGAAAGTTAATACACACATTTTTTGAGATTTAGGAAATGAGATAAATACCAGGATTATAAAAACACCAATTCGATACTACTGCTTTATTATTCTAAAGCACACAAAATATAAAATTCATCTAATGTTCAATAATTATTATCATTGGAAATAGTTTTTCCTGGGATAACTGTCCAAAGGAAAAGATGTGCTAAAATACAACTGTCACCGCATACATTACAAAAAAATGACTTTAGAAGAAGTGCAATGGAAATCAAATGAACTCTTCGGGCTCCCGTGGAGCATCCAAGTCTCTGTAGTGAATAACGGGTCTGAAATCAGAGGGCCCTCCCCTGAAAACAAAGAGATTTATTGAATAAATAAATATAATAAGATACTTAATGTGTTTCGTGAAAAACATTAAAGATTTTTATATACCTTGAACGTGGTTGAAATCCTCTGGTTCTAGTATAACCTGGGTTGTAATATGGAGCAGGTCTTCCATAACCAGGTCCACCAAAGCCTCCCCCACCACCACCTCCAAATCTAAAAATTAAATTAAAAATTAGAAGAATTCAAGTAATAAATCAAAGTGAATACACTTACGGATGGCCATAGTTTGGTGGGTCTTCTCTTTTAGGTTGGGGAGCTTCCGCCAGCATAGGTCTCTTGGGATCTTTAAGATAGTTATTGAAGAACTCCACCTCTTTTTTAACTTCTTCCAATTTCTCTGCATGTTTATTAAAAATATGTTTTCTAACAAAATCAGGACCTACAAAAAAACCATCCAGTAACAAAAACAAACATTTCTACTATTCCTTTACCTTTAAATTTCTTGCCGGATAAAGGACACAGCCATTTATCTTTCGCCAATTCTCTGGTATTTGCTTGAACAAACTTATCAATTTCAGTATCGACGTCTTTCAAAGCCAAACCGACCAACTTGGATTCGTTTTTATCTTTGTCCTCTTGCGTTTTTTCAGGCAAGAAAGCCGTCATTTTAACCTCGATCGGCCCACCAATAAATTGAGTCATGTCCGTCTGAAAAATAAAACATTGAAAATAAAGAAGCCATTTAATTAGAACGTTAAATTTTTACCTTGCTTGTAGGCGGAGGTCCTCTGGCATGCAGGATGCCGCACCTATTAGGCATCTCATCTTCGTTAGGATAATCGCAATGATTATAATAATCAACAGAATGAACGATTCTGAGATAGAGTATGATTCTATCCAAAACAGTTATTAAAGTTTCGTCTCTTTCTACAATAGCAGTTGCGTCTTGAGCATCCGTCGTAGGTTCTAGTCCTAAAAGTTCCTCTTCCTCGGCGCTCGCCTCTTCTATTAAGTAATCGGTTATGTTATGCAAGACCGGGTTGTTGGAAACCAAACCAAATGACTAAAAGAAGAAACATTGGTTTTTTAAGCCGAACTTAAATGGCTATTCAGTAGATTGATTAAGCAGACTTTTGACAGTTTTGAACAATATGGCAAACTGGAAGTCATAACATTTTTTAAATTTGAAAAACGTAATAGGTGCTTTTTTTGTGGAAAACAAAAAGGAAAAAATATCCGTACTCTTGATAGGTAAATAAAAGTATTAAATTTACAATAATTAATTAATACATGAATATATAAATAAAATTCTTTGATTAAATTAACATTAAAGCGAATTATAACGATTATTATATTGATTTAAATAATGTTCTTGTTATTTCTATAAAATTGGATTTGTTGGAAAAATGGCTGAAGAGTATGGATGTGGAAAATATTAACATAAATGCAAGAATGTGATTATGCTCAATCATATTAAAATATCCTGCTTGCAGAAAAATCGTATAAAGGCTGTGTTGGTACCTGGAAGTATTTGTAATGGTATTCAAGATTGTCTTATTTTAAGAGAACATTTTGTAGTCTAATGAACATAGAAAACATTTTAGTATTAGTTTAATAACAATTTTTGGTTCTTACAAATTAAAAATTTTCGTTTAAAAACTATGTATTTATGGCACTTCCAGTGTCCTTGTCCAGTGAATATTACAGATCAGCAGTTATTTCCAAAACAAACTTACCTGATGCGGTTTCTCCTTTTTCTCTTCCTCTTCGAGCCACAAACCGGCTTTAGTATCCAAATGCAGAACGACCCTGGCGGATATTCTGATGTCCGATCGAACAACTTGTTTGTGAGCTAGTATGCCGTTCACGGGTCTGATTCTGCGGCTCAGATCGCGGTTGACGATTGCGCCCAGTTCGCATTCTCTCAGCCTGATGTTGTTGAGGTTCCAACAAATTTCTTTGATGTTAGCGTCGCGCTTGAAGGTCACCCATCCGCGGCGCAACCAGCGCCTGTCAGGTTGGGGGTCAGCCAAAGCGACCCGAAGGAAACCGTCATATCTTCGATAAAAAAAGTATACTTATACAAGGTGTAGATGATTTAAATACACACTTATTGTGATTTATAAACCACAAAGTCGGTTAAATGAGGAAAAGTTTCTAAATTATGAGATCAATTTGTTGATGTTTTGAAATTCAAGATATCGGGTCCGTTTTTTAAGATATTTGAGGAAAACTAAATCGGTCGATTTTCTATTTTTGGCTCAGGCATATAAAGAGAACTTATGTTAATTTTCAAGTCAACATTTTGTGTCTGAAGGGCGGCAATCAAGATTATTTTTTAAATGAGGACATGTATTTTTGATTTCATTTTCTGAAAGTAGTCCTAAATTCTAATACTGCAATACATGTAATTTACAATAACTTTTTTATGCGTTTTGATACTATCAAATTATCATCCTCGAATATCTTGGAAACTGGACCTGACACCTTGAACTTCAAAACAACAATAAGACTAGCTACTTTTTTTCCATTTAACTGATTGTATCTCCAGTGGTTTACGAAATCACAATAGTGTGCTTTTAAATTGTCTACACCCTATATATTTTACTCTTACATAGCCTGAATTATTAAACATTTTTTCCATAATACAATTCGCGGAATCTAAGATGTGCAAATATAAAAAAAATATATATAGACTTGAAGATAAAACAATCAGCAATTCTCAAACAAAACTTGATAAATGATGAAGATTTGTAGTTGTACTGTGAAAACATATAAAGACAAAAAAATATCATAAAATGTTGTCATACCTAGAACACATAGCCTCTACTTCTTGTTTCGTAATAGTAGGCACCAAGTTTCTCAAAAAAATAGAAGTAGTTTTGTGAAGGGACTTTGGCTTCTCCACTTTTGTTCCATCGTCTTCCACAGTAAGTATCTCTTTATCATTATCTTTATCCGTTTTTTCTTTTTCTGTTTCCTCTTCGCCCTCTTCTTTTTCCTCATCTTTATCATCCTTATCTTTGGTTTCACCATCGCTGTCACTGCTGCTACTAGACGAACTACTGCTACCCGAATACGATCTTTTCCGTTTCTTTTCTTTTTCTGAAATAGGTACAAATATAATTGTAGTTATATTTCAATAAATAACAATTCTGTACCTTTAGGACGTTCCTGTTCCTCCTCATCAGGCTTCTTTGGTTCCTCGTCAGTTTCCATTTTTTCCGGCTCTTCTTTTTCTTGGCCTTCTTCTTCTTCAACCTTTTTGTCATCGTCGGTTTCTTCGTCCTTTTTCTCTTCTTCGACGTTTTTAACGGTTTCTTCTTTCTCCTCTTCTCCTTCTTCTATTTCCTCCGTCGGTTTATCTTCTTTATGTTCTTCATCATCGTGTTCTCCTTCTTCTTTATTGTCAGCTTTTTCGTTTTCAACAGCGGAAGCGTCCTCTTTATTTTCTTTTTCAGTCGATGATTCATTATTATCGGCATCGTCGTCTTTTTTATCTTTTTCAGTTGGAATTTCTCCGTTAGTCTTTTCGACGTCTTCGGTAGTCGTTTTTGATTTTTCTTCTTCAACTGGTTCCTTTTTGAGAACCAATTCGGGTTCTTTGTTTTCTTTGGGTTTATCGGTTTCCGATTCTTTAGCTTTTTGTTCCCTGTATTTCTGTTCCATTTCTAGATATAAAAAAATATTGGGTAAATAAAAGGAATAAGATCATTATTTCATAACTCGTTTACTTCTGTGTGAGCTTGATGACTTCAACGATGATTTTTTTCAAACAGAAATGTTGTTCATTCAATACATCCACTGTCAAAAATATTTATAAAATACAACATAATTTTTCAAATATCCCAAAAATAAATTTGGTAAAGACCATCACTGGAACTCAGGAAGTTACAGAAGAATTTCATTTTAACAAAATTGATATTAAGGGCGTTTCAAACGGTTGATAGGAATAGACTCATAAATAAGTTAGAAAGAGAAGGGTTCAGTGGTACAGTATTGGAATGAATTTCCAACTATTTAACAAACAGAAGGTAAAAAGTCAAAATTAAAAACTTGGTATCTGAGGAGTTAGAAATAAAACGAGGTGTACCACACGGATGTGTCCTAGGTCCCTTGTTTTTTTGATTTATATTAATAACATTACAGATATTCAGACTAAATGTTTATTTCACTTATTTGCAGATGACGCCTTCATTTACTATTCTTCTCTAAATACAATAGTTATTGTTACAATGGTTAATAAGTGCTTAGAAATTGTGTTGTGTTAATTTGTTAAACATTAATCGTAAAAAACCAAATTCATCATAATTGGTAATGAGCAGCAATATAAACTCTTTGTCGAACAAAATCATAAAATAATGGGCATTCGGAAATTGATATGGTAAATGAATTCAAATATCTCGGAGTTAGATCGACAACTTAAATTTAAACAGCACACAAACCATTTAATAAAAACAATTTAATTTAAAATAAATTATCTTTACGATGTTTACAGCATTTATCTAAGGTTTTATTTAATTCTCTAATACAACCTCACTTCAATCACTGCTTAACAGTATTATATCTCTTAAATAAAAACGAAAGAAACCGTTTCCAAAAGTTGCAGAATAGAGCTATGCGAATAATACTATCATGTCCTAGATTGACGCCTACTGTAGAAATGCTCAAAAATTCAATCTTTTTAAAAGGCCTACAGCAATTTAATGACTTGCCAGAAGATCTAAAGAAATTAGATTCAATTAATGTATTTAAACGTAAACTAAAACAATATTTGTTAGATGTACGTAGGTAATTTAGGTATTGAAGTATTTTGTTATTAATATTATTATTCTATGTGTGTTGATTAATTATATTTTATTTTATATGACTACAGTTATTGTGTAATGACCATGTATTAGTTGTTTTTTGACTAAATAAAGGATTTACATTAACTTCAGCTTAGTGTTATTTGTAATTTATTAATACTACAATGTCAAATTCTTCCTTAACATAAAAATGTTTGCCAAAGAAAAACTTTTCCCCGGGCATAAGCTCATCTGGGAAAAACTCACCAGGAAAGAGCAGTCTCCAGGAAAATTATAATAAATATTTTAGAAGAAGGTTTTAAAATACCCACATTGGGATGGGGACCGAGTTTACTGAAAATGAAAATAGAAAAGCTATCAAAGTAATAATATAATATAATAATAATAATGTTTATTTACCAGCAATATATACATTCAGATACAATAAAATAAAATCCAATAGGAAATAAAATGTAAATAAACAAGAAATGTGTCACTGAATCTGCTCACTGTACAAAGTACAATGACAGATTGTGTGTGACAAAAAATACGACAAAATAAAATAAATAAAACTTATAACAATACAATAGTAAAAATTTAAAAATATGAAGCAATTAAAATACAAATTATTAATAAAAATAAAAGTTATATAAGTACAATCTTTACACTTTGATAATAAGTAAAATTTATTTCCAATATACCTCGGCATAAGTATCTCATACAACGAACATAACTTCTACATAGACAAAGAACATTTTTAAAATATTCAGATTCTTTAACGTTTATAATATACTTTCTAATTATTTAATGTCTATTTTTTTTTTTATTCGATTATATTACGGAAAAAAGTTCGCGGTGTTTTTGTTATAAATTCTTTTACACATCTTTTAAATTTTTTTACTGTTTTTATTTCTCGAAGCTCCGTTGGAATGTTATTAAAGATTTTTGGTCCCAAAAACCGATAGCTATTTTGTCCAATTGATTTATTCGTTCGTGGTAGCAAATAATTTTCTCCATTTCTTGTATCATATTGATGCAACGGTGTTTGCAGATCATCTTGATTTTGAAATTGATGGGTAAGTGCTGCTTGACAGAATAACTGTCGTAAGTCAAATATCTGGGTTTCTTGATACCCATTTTCAGTAGGATATCTTCTATTTTTGTTTAGCATTATTTTTAAAAAACTTTTTTGAATGATCTCGATTGGCTTTAAGTGCGTTTTAGTGACTCCACCCCAATCAATTATTCCATAGTTGAGATGAGATTCGAAAAGGCTATGATACAAAATTCTCTTCTGTGGTAATTCTAGCATTGGTGATATTTGTATGAATTTAAATAAGACACTACGTAATTTGTTTAGTAAGTATTGAGTATGTTTGTCCCAGCGCAAGTGGCTATCTACTATTATCCCTAAATATTTAGTTTTATTTTCAGGTAGTATAAATGTGTCGTTCTCGATAGCGATATTTTGAAATTGAGGAAGACCAGAGGCTAGACTGCAAAAAGGTAGGTAGGTACACTGTTTCTTTAAAATTCCTAGTAGACTTTGTCCCTTGGCTATCGCAACATACACACCTTACATATACAATTTCGAAAAATCCATTGGCAAAATACGAATGGTTTAAAATAGAAAAATTAACTAGAAAAGACATATTTTTTGTGGCATCGAAGCTTCTATCCCATGGAAGACACCCAGATGTTGTTAATAACTTCCATTCCATGGTGGATATCTGGGCGTTGTCAATTTGTATTTTAGTACTTGGATTTGTATTTGATACATTTTCCGGCAGGTATTAAGATTAACAACAAGAGATGGTAATAAGTTTACGTTAGATGATTAATTTTGTAGTATTTGCCACTCAAATTTAATCGAAATTGGATGTCTCCATTAGTTTTGAATAATAAGAAGTTTAGATTTCTGAAAAAGTTTGGAGAATTTGCAACTGGAGTACTTGTATTACTGAGATTAATGATAACTATTAATTTTGGACGGTTAATTTTAGATTTGCCACTTAAATTTAATTGAGACTAGGGGTTACAATTAATTTTGGATGATAAGAAGTTTAGGTTTCCGAAACAAAGTTTGTACAATTTGCAACTGGAGTACTTGGAATAATTGTATTTGATAATTTTTCAGTGGGTTTTAAGTTTAACAATGATAAATGATTTAAAGCTGAACATTCTGAGACCTATCATGAAGCTATTTGGAAAGCAATGGAAAAACAAGTAGAAGCAGGTGAAATCAAATACATTGGTATCTCTAATTTCAATATCAGACAAATTGATAGAATTACGAAAATTGCAAGAATTAATTGTGTATGTTTACAACACGAAATGGTCGAATATTTCCGAAATAATTATATGTTGCTTGTCACTTATGCCCCTCTAGGATCACCAGATCTGCTTAAATTTAAAGATCTTATGATAGTCCAAATTGTTTTACCAAATCTTCTAGGTAACATCTTAGTAAAAATAACTGAGAAACATAAGAAAACACATACTCAAATTCTGATCAGATTTCTGATAGAAAAGGATGTTTGCATTATTCCTAAAAACGCAAATATGAACAGGCTCAGAGAAAATTTATTGGCATTGACTTTTAAATTAGATGAAAATGATATGGTGGCTTTGGCTTTATTTGATGATGGCGATAAAAGAAGTATTGTAGATTTGTAAATTGTAAATTTTTCCCATAAATACATAACCATCCAGAATACACTTTTTAATTTTAGTCTACAGCGTAAGTGACGTTTAATATGTTTTTTATATCATGATTTGTTTTAATAATTGAATTATAATAACATTATATGTATATATCCAATTATTTTTGTTATTCCTGATTATTTTGTGTTTTCTTTGTAGAAAGTCATTCTGTACTTTTTATGTTTTTATTAATATGTATTTTTATATGTATATGTATTTTTTATACCTTTATTTCTTTTATTATTTTAATTATAACTACATTGCATAGGCAAAAAGGTTACAGAGGAAAATCGGTTCAACAGGAAAAGGCTCACGAGCAAAAAGCTCACTATTGCATTCCAGAAACCAATAAAGAAATAAATACTTATCACACTTTGGAAGAGTTTAAAATATTGAGATTAAGAATTAGGTTATCGCCACATAGACACAGCATACATGTACATTCCGAAAGGCCCATGGGTAAAAATACTTGAACGATTTGGAACAAAAACATTAACCAGATAAGAAATCTTTGTCACATAAAAGTTTTTTTTTTTTTTTTGTAAAAAGTTTAAAGAATTTGCAATTGGAATACCTGGATTGGAATTGGATACATTTTCCAGTAGGTTTTAAGTTCAACAATGATGAATTATTTAATGCTGAACCTTCTGAGACTGATGGTAAAGTTATTTGGAAAGCAATGGAAAAACAAGTAAAAGGAGGCATAATCAAATTGGTCTAATTTGAATGTCAGACAAATTGATAGAATTATGAAAATCGCAAGAATTAATCCTGCATGTTTACGAGTCAAAAGTATGTTTTCCTTCAACACGAATTGGTTAAATATTACCAAAATAATAATATTGGGCTTGTCTTTTATGCCCCTCTAGGATCACCAAAACTCTTTAAATTTAAATACTTCTATAACAAAATTATGTTCAAAAACAACAGGAAACTACTCTCTATAAATAGGAAACAGTTAAAAACAATAGCAGGACTCAAGACTCGACATGTACCAGTAAAGGGATATCAGACAAAAATAGACGTGTATAAATGAGACCTATTGTATTGACTTTGTCATGAAGAACCAAAAACAGTCAAATACATATTTTGTGACAGCGAAACATTGAATCGCAAAAGGCACTTTTTGGACAACCACAGGTTGATTCCAAGAACCTATACAACACAGCCTGTCAAGGACTTGTACAAAGGAAAATGTAGGAGTGGGTACTATGAATTAACAAGGGATTGAAAACAATAAGCTGCAGTATTATGCATAGGCAAAAACCTCGCTGGAAAAAGCACACCAGGGAGAATCTTACCAGGAAAGAGAGGTTCTCCAGGAAAATATAATATAAACATTCTAGAAACCAATAAAAAAATGAATACTTATAGCACTTTGAGAAAGGTTTTAAAATACCCACATTGGGATTGGTGTTTACTGAAAATGAAAATAGAAAAAGCTATCAAAGACTTGTCTTTTGCTATCGCCACATAGACACAGCTTGACGAATGGTTTAAAACAGAAACATTAACCAGATAAATCTTGCTGGCATGGAAGCTTTCATTCCACAGAGGACATCCAGGCACTATCAAATTTCTTTTTTTGGATTTGTATTAGATATATTAAGTTTAACAATAAACGATTAGGCATTTCAATTAATTTTTAATGGTAAGAAGTTTAGATTAGAAGGTTTATTTTGTATTGATCTGAGATTTTTATTAATATGTATATATAAGTTTAGGTTGTTAATTATATATTTACCACTTAAATTTAATTGAGACTGGGGGGTTTCAATTTTAGATGGTAAGAAGTTTAGGTTTCTGAAAATAAAGTTTGTAATATTTGCAACTGGAGTATTTAGGCGAGTTTTAAGTACAACAACGATGAATGATTTAAAGCTGAACACTTTGACACTGATCATGAAGCTATTTGGAAAGTAATGGAAAAACAAGTAGAAGCAGGTAGAATCAAATAATTGGTATCTTTAATTTCAATATCAGACAAATTGATAGAATTACGAAAATCGGAACAATTATTCCTGCATGCTTAAGTTTAAAGATCTTATAATAGTCCAAATCAATCAATCAAAATCAATCAATGGCAGGTGTAATTGCCCCGACCTCCTTTCCAGAATTAATCTTTTTGTGCCGTCACGTACTACTAGACAAATTCAAATATTCCACGTACCTTTTCACCGTTACAATTATGCGTTTAATACTTTTATTCCTAGAACACTTACAGCGGGTTGCAACAACGATCGTTAAATATCTAATGACTCGTTAAACCCAAATCTTTTACTAAAGGTGTAGTACGGGTTGCATTCTTCTGTTAATTTTTAACGACGACGTGAACTGGCAACTGCGCTTCCTCTGTCAGAGCTCTGCTCGTCATTTACTTTGACAGATTAATGTTTATGGATTAATATTTTAGAATTTTTCAATTATTTTCAATTTTCCAGCCAATTTATGTGAGTGTCGAGAGGTACTTTGAATATATATTATAAACGTTCAATTTTAGTTCGTTTAGTTGAAGTATTATAATGTTTGACAACAAAAATCGCAAGCAATTTACTGCTAAAGATAGAAGAAAAACCACTTGGTAAGTAAATTAATAACAAGTACATAAAATTCCTTCAAAAACATTCACTTTATTACATCTTAATTTGTATTTCCAACTACATTTTTGGGGTTAAAATTTTAGGTAATTATAGAAGATCTCTTTATTGCATGGCTAAGAAGTTGTATTGGCCAAAATACTAATTACGAATAACTAGCTTTTATTAAATATAAAACTGATACAAGGACATCTAAAAGTGAGATACTTACAACAAAAAGAAAACTAAACTTTACAAGAGGTCAAATAGAAGGAGAGACAGGACAAGGTTCGTATTTGTTTCATTCAAAGGAACACTTTTATTGTTTTAATACATAACATTTGCAAATTCATAAAATTTGTACACCCACCGACCCTCCTGGGACAGTAACTTTAATATACTTACCTTCTATATAGTATAGAATATTGTGCCTTCTTAGTAATAAAAGAAAAAATTTATTTGAAATCAAATTAAAAATTTGTGCAGTAATATGTTTAAAGTTAATTTTCTAAGCAAAGCCTATAATGTTATTTAACAAAAATTTTATATTTTAAAAGATTGATTTATAGGATTTTAATTTAAACAGAAATTAAATCACTTTTATATTATATACAATATAAAACTTCTTTTGTATGTGTTATTATTTATACAATTTTAGCAATATCTGTCTTTTCCCATTTTAAAGATTTTTCAAACTACTAAAGTTAAAAAAAAAATAAAATTGGAAATAACTAACGTTTGGTATTATTTTTGTTTATTTAAATTATTTCCTTATTTATTTAAGGGTGAAAAACAAGAAGGAGGCGTGGTTAATCTCCAACTTGATGAGATGGGCTCAAATTAAAGCATTTTTTTATAATCAAATAGAGTCCCCGTTGAATTCCTTTGATTCCACTGCTACATTCTTTGGTAAGAAAGTATTTTATTTATTTTATTTAAACTTAGCTGTTTTATTATACATGGTGGTCAAAATTCGACGTTTTCACATGATACAACTGGATATCGAAACCTTATAACCCACCATTGTCACCTTTTTTGAGAAACAAAACATGGAATGCTTAGTTGTTATAAATCCTTTTTAGAAACTATAGGGTGATTTTCTAAATTTATCATAATTTATTATCTCAAATAAAAATATTATTTTGAAAAACAATTTAATAATTTGACATAGTTACATATGTAAAATCCATTGTCGTACTTATTATTTTTTCAAGGGGTACACATTTTCGAGGTAACACCATTTTTTATTTGAACACCCAAACAAAATAATGATATTTTAAAAATCACTCTTGCATTTTACTTAGGGAAGGAATTTATAACTGGATTTAAAATAACATGCTTAGTTAAAAAAAGGTGCGACATAAATGTGCTTTATCCCCTGCTAATTTAGTAATATCTTATAAACATGTCAAATTTGGACCATCTTGTATAATTATCACAAATACTTTGTATGTTGATAGGAAAATTAGTGTAATATGAAGACAAATTTGGAATTGAAGGGAACTTTTACACATTTTATTAAAGTATAACTGTAGGTCTAATTAGGTTCTTGCATTGCAATAAATAATTACACGAGTCCTAGTTAACTGCAGCTAAATATCATCGTTGAATCTCTATATAAATTTTGTTATATCATTATATTTTGGAACATACTTTTATGAGCTCTAGAATCATATATATTTATTTATTATTCTGTAGGTGAACAAATCAATAATTGATATTATGCCTCTTTCCAGTGGAGTCTCCTTAGGTGCTTCTCCTAGTAGTCTCTTCACTCCCAAGGAATCTACTAAACCCTTCCCTGGCCCAAGTGGACTCTGCCGATCCCCCTGCACAGACTCTCAAGCAAAATCGTACAGTTAAAAAAGGAAAACTTTGTAACAACAAAATTAAAAATATTGTTGTATGGACCACTAATCTTGAAACAAGACAGGCTTGGCTCACAAATAAAACTTTAAAATATCTATACTGCCCCAGTAACTACACAAACTATAGAATGGAGATATATGCAATAAAAGAAATTTATTAGTGCCAGTATTTTGATATGTGTTACCAATATAGCTGCTTTTGTTGAATTAAATACAAGTTTTGAATAATGTTTTTAACTAGTTATATAAATGTGATTTAATGTTTTGGGTTGATTTTTGATAAGAATTCTCTAGAAAAATGTTAGTTACATTGTAGAATCAAGTTGACTTTTTAGGATACAGAATAAAAATTGCTGGTATTTTGTTTACTTTTTAAAAAGAAAAATGGGTCAGTATCAGAATGGTCAAATAACCTCAAATATTTGTAATTTGTCAGTTATGGGGGTTTGGCTTATGACGGTGGTATAGCCTGGTAGCAATATATTTTTATTTGTAAATAGGCATTACTTTGTAGTAATATAGGTGTTTGCTAAGTATTTTAAAATATTTCATGAGATAATCGCATAAATAATTTTAAGCCATATAACTGTGGAGCTTGGTATCTCTACTTATATTGTTAAACACTTTTTAATTCGTATAATTGTTATGTATTAATACATTCTCAAACATATTTAATATTATTTTATAGTTTTTTCCTGCCTATTTTCAGAAAAAGTAAATATTTAGCAGTAAACTACTATCAGTAATAACATTTTTATTGTTTGTACCTATGTTGAAATAATCCATTTCTTTTTATACATTTATAAAATATGTGGAACTGGCAAAGTAGACGTATCCAATACGTTAGGCAAACTGTAAATTTTAACACAAAATTACTAGTCAACTTGAAACCTGTCATAACCAAAAAGAAATCCTGGATTGAATGTTTATTTTCTAGAATTAGAATTCTTAATAATGATGGGCAAATTAAATGTATTTTTATTTATTGTAGATTTACTATATTTTTTTATTATGTTATGTATTTTGTGTATATTAATTTAATCCTAAAAAATAAAATTTTAAAATGAATTTGGTGTTTTATTTATGACCTACAAATCTGTAAATTACAAATGTGAAAGCAAATATATTAAGGTAAATAAGTGTAATTTATACATAGTATCAATTATTTAATATTCTAAATTTCGACTATTACACAACCTATAAAAGCTAATTATCATATCATAATTATTTAATTTTCTCAACAATCTAGAAATTCCAATATTGTACAAATAGAAACT